AGGATGGGGGGGGGGTCCTCTATAGGCTAATCAAGATACGGTTGTAGTGGGTCTTTCAAAAAAATTAAGAAAAGGTTGCCAGAGTTTGAAAAATTTATTCTCAGACCCACGGACCGTGTATCTAATTTTTTCCAAGTTCATACATGACATCATGTCTTTTATCCATTGTGAATGTGTAGGGGAAAGAACGTCTCTCCACTTAAGTAGTATAGCTCTTCTAGCTACTAAAGCTGAAAATCTAAGCACTTTGAGCTCGGAGTTGGGCAGGTTGAGCTCTGGAGTAGCCCCAAAAATAGCACAGAGTGGGTCTGGCTTGATCTCATGCTGCAAAACCTCAGCGATTGTATGAAACACGGCCCTCCAGAAGTTGGCCAGTGATGGACACGCCCAGTACATATGGAATAATGTACCAGGGGCACTGCTACACCTCCCACAAGTTGGATCTACATCTGGGTAGAAACGTGCCAATTTTACCTTCGACAAGTGTATACGGTGAATGATTTTGAATTGGATGAGCGCGTGTCGGGCGCACATTGAAGTGGTATGAACCTGGCCAAGAATAGATTCCCAAAGATCGTCGGATATGATAAAGTTGAGATCTTGTTCCCATTTTGACTTAATGGCAGTTAAGGGTGAGCTTTGTAATTTTGCTATTAGATTATAAAGAGTTGAAATGACACCTCTAGAAGTTGGATTGATAGATAAAATATCATCTACATAATTGTCCGAAGGTTTTTGAGGGAATTCTGCTGTCATAGTTTGTATATAGTGTCTGACCTGTAAGAAACGGAAGAAATGAGTTGTTGGAAGTCCAAATTTTGTAGATAACTGAGAGAAACTTGCAAATTGACCGTCTAGGTATAGGTCAGTAAAACATTTAATGCCTTTTCTATGCCAAAAGAGAAATGTGCCGTCAGACATTGAAGGGGTAAATAAGTGATTTGCAGCGACTGGGCTCCGGAGAGAGAGAGGCTGGAGACCAAAACTTTTCCTGAATTGAGACCAAATTTTAAGAGACTGGTGTACTACTCTATTATGATCAGGTGGGGGCAGAACTAAAGGGAGTGGCGCGCCCAACATCGCAGGTAAAGAAAACTTGCTATCCGACCGAGACTCCATGATGACCCAAGCTGGTGGTGTTGGTTCCAAGTAAAAATTTTTCCAATATAGCATACTTTTGAAATTTGCAGCCCAGTAGTAGTATTGAAAGTTGGGAAGAGCCATACCTCCAACCAGCTTGGGTCTTTGAAGGAACGCTTTCCTCAGCCTTGGGTGTTTGCCATTCCAAATAAAAGAGGTAATTAAGGAATCCAGAGACTTAAAGAAGGATTTGGGAATCAAGATCGGAAGACATTGAAATAGATAAAGAAACCTTGGAAGTATCATCATTTTAACAGAGTTAATTCTACCAATTAGAGAGAGAAATAATGGGGACCATTTTGAAAATATTTGTTTACATTGATCTAATAGGGGAAAAAAGTTACTTTTGAACAGGTGATTGAATTGCTTAGTGACACAGACCCCAAGGTAATTAAAGCTATCTGTGACTACTCTAAATGGGAATTTTGCAAGGTCTTGCTTTTGAGCCTTCTTGTTAATCACGAACAATTCGCTCTTATTCAGATTAATTTTATACCCCGAAATTCTACTAAACCCATCCAGCATTTGAAGCATTGGAGGTATGGAAGTGAGTGGGTTTGAGAAGAAAAGGAGAAGGTCATCAGCATAAAGTGAAACTTTATGCTGGGTATCACTCCTCCAAATGCCTTCTATGTCCCTCTTGCTTCTGACTGCGGCTGCTAGCGGTTCAATAGCCATGGCGAATAATAAAGGGCTTAAAGGGCAGCCCTGTCGCGTTCCTCGATGAAGCTTAAAATAGTCTGAATAACGACCATTTGTTAATACTGACGCTACAGGGCTAGCATAGAGAAGCTTAATCCAGGAGCAAAACGAAGAACCAAAACCAAATCTTTCCATGGTAAAAAACAAATAATTCCACTCTACCCTATCGAATGCTTTTTCAGCGTCCATTGAAATGAGACACTCGGGGATATTGTGGTCGGAGGTGTATATAATGTTGAAAAGCCTCCGTAAATTGAAAAAAGAGTGGCGGCTCTTAATAAAGCCAGTTTGGTCTGTTGAGATTATTGAGGGCAGGATTTTTTCCAGTCTACATGCCAGTAGTTTGGAAAGAATTTTTACATCGGTGTTCAATAAGGATATAGGCCTGAAAGAAGTGCAGTCTGCAGGGTCTTTATCCTTTTTAAGCAACAATGAGATAGAAGCTTGGTAGCATGTTGGGGGTAGTGAGCCAGAGTCAAGCGAATCAGCAAATACTTGGCAGAGAAAGGGGCTAAGGTCCTCAGAGAATTTTTTGAAAAATTCTGAAGGAAACCCGTCTGGGACTGGAGATTTCCCGGTCTGCATAGAAAATATTGCTGACTGGATTTCTTCTGTTGTAATGGGAGCTTCTAGGATTTTGTTGCATTCTAGGGAGATTGATGGCATTTCAATAGAGTCAAAGAACTCCTGCAAGTCTTTTAGATCTGCCATGGAGTCGGATGTGTACAAGTTTGAGTAGAAAGTTCGAAAGGTATCGTTAATCACCTTTTGATCAGATGACGACTCACCATTATTTGTCCTAACTGCAGTTATAATTTGCTTAGCCTTAATTCCCCGCAATTGATTGGCCAATAATTTACCAGATTTTTCCCCGTGCTCATAGAACTCGCTCTTATTCCTCATTAGACAGCCCTCAACTTGACGAGTGGAAAGTAACTTAAGCTTAGTTTGTAAATTCAGGCGCTCTTTATACAAGGCGGGTGTTGGTAATTGAGCATATTGCCTGTCAATATTAAGGATTTGATCTGTTATGTCTTTTTGTTCCTGCAGTGTAGACCGTCTCTTAAAAGCTGCCCAGGAGATAATTTCTCCTCTGAGAAAGGCCTTCATAGCCTCCCATACCGTTTTGTTGGGCATGCCTGGTGTTCTATTTTCAGTTAAAAAAGTTTTTATTTTAGAAGAGATGTTACTAACAAATTGTTCATCAGTGAGCAGTAACGGGTCCAGTCTCCAATGTTTTCTCACAGAGTCGCAGCCCTGTAAAGACATTTTAAGCAGTAGAGGGCCGTGGTCGGAAATAGTAATACTCTCATAATTACATGATGTGATATTGTTCATTAGTAAGCTATCCACAAAAAAATAATCTATTCTGGTGTAACTATGATGTGCATGAGAGAAAAAGGAATACTCTCTGCCGGAGGGGTAAATAAACCGCCAAGGATCTGTGAGATTATAATCACTGAGAAAGGACTTAATATATGTTGCAGATTTACTAAGAGTAGTTGGTTTAGAGGATGAGCGGTCGAGCATAACATCCATGCACAAGTTAAAGTCACCTCCCAAAATTAAAGAGTGAGTATTCAGATCCTGGAGATGCGAGAATATATTGCGAAAGAATTGTACATCGTCGAAGTTGGGTGCATAAAGATTAGCCAAGGTAACTAATTTATTACCGAGTCTTCAAGAGATAATTACAAATCGACCGTTTTTATCAAGAGTAATATCCGATGGAACAAATGGAATATTTCGGTCAATAAGTATAGCAGCGCCCCTGGCCTTACCCCTAAAGTTCGAGTGAAAAACCTGTCCTGACCAACACTTTGCCAGACGTGAATGGTCTGAGTCCTGCAGGTGCGTCTCTTGCAAAAATACCACCCCAGGTTTAAATTGCTTTAAACGTGATAAAACACGCTTGCGCTTTATTGGGTGGTTTAGTCCCTTCACATTCCAACTAACCAATGTAAGATTACTAGTCATCTAAAAGGGGGAAAAATATATATATATTGCTTAGCCCAAGGAGGAGGAGGAGGGATAACATAATGAATAAAAAGAAAGAAAAAATAAATAAAAAATAAAAAAAACAAAGAAAGCAAGAAAGAATTAAACAAAAACAAAAAACCCAAAAAAAAAAAAAAAAAAAAAAACCCAACAGGTTGCAAAAAACGGCAACCGTTTCTCCTGTCCTATTCTTATACCAGAAGAGTTCACTCCCATACACTACCTACTGGCCTCCCATCCTGTGTGGCAAAACCCTAAATTAAAATTATATATGAAAACAATACACGTTTTTGAACAGGCTATATCGTTTAACCAGAGCCACCTTACCGAAAGAGTGAATTACGTACGACGACGGGGTACGACAGTTCAATGGAGAATAGCAATAAGCAACAGGGTGTAACATGTCAATAGAGAATAGCAGTAAGCGCTCACGTTAGCGTCTCCATCAGGGCGAGGGACCCGCGTCTTCCTTTGTGGATTGGATGAAGCGGGTGGCCTCAGAAACCGATCCCAGCCACCGATTTCTACCATCTGGAAGGGTGATCCGGAGCTTGGCTGGAAAAAGCAGCGAAGGACGGAAACCCCTATTAAATAGTTCGGCCATAGCGTCTCTGTATTGGACTCGCTGTTTCTGGACCTCAGCGGTGTAATCTTCGTAGAACTGAAGCTTGTGTCCGCGGAACTCCAGAGTCCCACGGCGTCTCCGTACCTCTCTCATAACCAAATCCTTGGTCTGAAAGCGGTGGAAGCGTATGATGATCGTGCGTGGCTTTTCATTCAGACCTGGCTTGGGCAGCAGGCTCCTGTGGGCTCTGTCCAGCTCCGGGAGAGTTGACAGGGTCTGAGCTCCGAAGACATCCACAAGCAGCTGAGACACGAATTCTGTAGGCCGTGGACCAAGTTCCAATGATTCTGGTAAGCCCACCATACGGACATTCTGTCTTCTGCTTCTTCCTTCTAAGTCAGAAAGCTTGTTTTTCAAAAGTTTGTTCTCTTCATGTATTGACACGCATGTAGCTTCCAGTGATGCTAAGCGCTGGCTAACTTCCTCCGCATTAGTTTCTAAATCTCCAATACGACCTTCCTGATTCACAACCTTGGCTTGAATCTTGTCCAGCTTGTTGTTGATTACCTCTGATGAAGCTTTCAAATCGGCGGCTATGGACGCTCTGTGTTGTTCGAGCAAAGCAATGAGTTCTGTGCTGAGACCGATGGTAGCATCTCCAGCTAAGTTAGCTCCGTGAGTAGCCAAACTTTCCTCCGTTTTTTTGCCGGCTTGAGGATCTTTCCTAGGCATGACTGCTAAGAAGCACTTTCCGGGATTATTGGCACTTTGACACGTACGTGTTATGAAGCAAAGTAGGGTTTTGTTGCCAAGGTAAATGAAAGTTTAAAGGAGCCCGTAGCAGACAGGTCTACTCCATTCAACCGAAATTGAAATTGATAATGAGGTCCATTAAAAATGCAAAATCAGATGTACAAATCTGCTCTTTTTTTTCTTAAAATTTGAAGTGCATTGGAATTTGTTCTCAAAAATAGACATATTGATATTTAAAAAGCGATAATGTAATTTTTGAATTTTTCTACAATGAAATTTGTAAAGCGAATATTTTTTGTCTTTGAATTTTTAGTGACTGAAATGCAAACACAGCTTTTCAAGTTAAAATCTTCCAAAAAAGTAATATAATGGTCGAATACTTTAAGGTACATTACCATAACTTTACATACTAAAAGTTGTACATTTACTATAAAGTTTAAATTACTATGGACTTTATAGTAGGTGTACAAATTACGTATTCAAAATTATATACTTTTTTTAATTTTACAAAGTGTAGCTAATCATAAAAAAACTATTATATTATACTTGAATCAGAATACATGCTAGAATAGAATAGAATTAGATGAGGAACGTGTTCTGGGTTGTTCAATGCATTTTTTGGCCTTTTCAAGACTTTTGGTTTGGACATACCTATATTTTGCACTTTGGGAACTACCAGAACTGAAAATCAACTTACAATCATGTCCAAATACTATCTATCATCAAAATACATTGTTACCGTTACATTACTTTTGCTATTTAATTTACACTTTTAAAGAAACTTACAATTGTTTTCACAAATAAAATCCTTCCATAACCTTGTTTTCCTTCTATCTCAACAGTAGCTAAACTTTGGTCTTTGTCTTTTAATGCCATTTAGTGCAGTTTCTATATGACCGTTTGTCTAGACCAGCTGTGTGAAAACGTCTTACACTTTGTAAAGTTTTTCCGTCCTGATGTTGCGCGAGCCACTCGACTATCCGTTGAGACAGGAAGTGTCAAAAGAAAATGTCCTACTGATGTTAATACAAATCAACAGTTACAGTACTTATTTTCAACTAGTGGGCCATATTATGACTCGCAACACACTCACAAATCTCATCAACGCAGGTGGTGTCAAAGTAAGCAGTACTGCAAGGGCTGCTCTGTAGCACCTTTTTAGTAAACTTTTTAACAACTTTTATATCGCGTTTTTTATTGTTCATGTTTTTTAATATATCTGAGTGTTTTATCTTTTAATTCAGTGGTTTCACAAATAGCACTTAGTCCCGACTGAAACCCACTAGTAAGCACAGAGGCTAACACTAGCTAACGAGGACTGGAAAGTGACAATGAAATTTGCTCAATATGCACATTATTTAGTCGCCTCACCTTGGAGCTCCGTGAGAGCGACCGTTCCACCATTGCAGATCTACGAAAAGAAGTCCTTCGTCTCTCCGCAGAGTTGAATTAGAAACAATCTCTAGTGTCCAAACTTTTTGAAGTCGCTGGTGGGCAGCACTCACGGCTGATGTCACTGAGCGATGCATAATTGTCGACACGTCGTTGTGGGAGAAAGATCCGTCACTCCGGCCCTCCTGTTCTACCCTAAGCGCCCGCTTTCCGAATAACGAGCCCGCGGATTCCGAGGGCCATCCATGCGCCGTGGGCCCATGTCCTGAGTCTGGCAAACACGCCTATGCAGGCAAAAGTCCCTCCTCCACCACCGACATCGCCCGGCCCCCTCAAGCAGAATCCCTGGACACTGCAGCGTACCTCTACTGCTCGATGATCCAAGTCACTGCGAGAAAAACGCTCCTAAAGGAAGCAGTCCTCAGGCGAAAGAGCGGTCCACCAGCCATGTTGGCCTGTTCCCACTTCTTTGACCCCAGTGCCAGCAGCCTCAGACTGTAGGGTAGCGAGCCATCATCACCACCCGCTCACCTCCACCGGGTTCAGCAGCAGCGCCCAGAGCAGCCCCTCTCATCCGTCTCCATCGTCCCCGAGCATTCACAGCGTGGGTCGCCTTTAGCTGAGAGTCCGCACCCCCCGCTCCTCCTCCATCCATGTGTTCACAGCGGCGCTCGAGGCCGGGTCCTGCTTCGGGTGAACCCGCTGTTGTTCCGTCCACCGAGCTCCTTCTCCGAGGCCACTCTTCGCCCCGACACTCTGATTTATTGTGAGAATTCCATCGTGAGTCTCGTCCGCTTCTTTAAAACGCGGTCACTCGCGGTATTCCCGGAGCTACGACCAGAACCTGCTCATCCGTCCTCCCATCCTCTGCTTCATTCCCGGTGCCTGATACTCGTCTTCCCAACGGTAGTCGTGCATGTGGGAATTTAACGACATGAACTCAGCAGTCCAGAAGTCACGAAGGAAAAAAACCCATTTTTTGTTTTTTTTTTATTGATTATGGATCTGTTCCACCTCCTTCAAATCCCCGGTCTATCTGTTTTTTTATTGTCTGGTCCAATCCAGACTGTAAACAATAGAGGTGACTGCCTCTACAGTGCGTGTTGGTGGCGCTGTACATGTGTGGCTTCAGGGGCTACATGCAGCTCTTTAAAAATTGTCTTTGTGAATAACTTTGCCCTTTCTGGAAACGATAACGAAGGCCCTATCGTCCAGACGGGATTTACAACCCAAACAGATACGGTAGCAGCCTGTTGATGGATTACATACTTATGTTGTTCAGCGTTCCCCCGAGGGGGGGCGTGACCTGTTTTACATCTGAAGCCCCCTCGGACCCCACCGCACTCCCCCGCCTCCTGCTCACCCACACCGGGTGAGTACAAAACGGTGCAAACACTGCTCCCTCCGTCTGGCAGTGCATTACCAGTCCAAACACTGAACGTGCTGACTCCCTTCTGACTCTGGGAGCTAAAGAACACAAACAAGGGTTTTCACATTTAAGCCAATTGAGACTGTGTGTGTTTCCTCGCACCAGCTCAAAAAATGTTATTTAAATCAAAAAACCGAAATCAAAACAGGACAGCAGTTAGACCGTCCAACTCTGCAAAGCTAATTTCTGTTCCCTGTAGAAATCAATCAACCAATTTAATCGACTCTGACGTTTTTTTTTAAACTTGCTATGCTGAATGTCCATATCTCTATGTAACAAAGTCATTTTTATTTAATAATTTTATCAACTTCTTATGATCTTGATTTTTATGCTTATGGCTGAAACATGGCTCGACCAAAATACAGGAATGCAGTTCTAATAGAAGCAACACCACCCAATTTTAAATTCGAATTCCGAAATACGCAGAAAACAAAAGGGGGAGGCATAGCTGCAGTTTTTTCAGAGAGCACTTTTCGTCTCCCATAGAAATGCCCCTTGGAAATTTTTCCAATCGTTTGAGTAGATTTTCTTTTTAAAATGGAACAAAAGCAATTCATCTACTCTCTTTTCAGTTGTGCCTGTACATGCCACCACAGTCATGTTTTGCGATTCTTATTGACCATTTTACTGAACTAACTTTCATTCGAGTGCACAGATTTTTGTTAGTTTTTAGATTATTACACGGTGATTTTAATGTAACAATGTTGATAATGTTGATGACAGAAAATGCAAATGAGCTGCTTCTGGTACTTTGAGACCTTTGTTCATTCAGCAACGTGAGTGGGCCCTACCCACAGCAGGGGCACACTCTTGATACCTGCTAATTTTACAAAGGGGTTAATGTATCAAATTATAATGTAGTTGATGTGCTTTGTCAGAAAGATCATTTCTGTGAATTTTTTGACATGTGTTTTTGCTAGCAAACCACCAGCTGAATTTACAACTGATAGAAGAAGACACATACAATGATAACACAAGTGAACTGTTCATGGGAAGCTAAATTTGAGAACTCCCATGCTTCTACTGTTGATGAATTGTATAACTCTGTCACCACCCAGGTGTTCTGACTGTTCTGGACGCCATTGGCTCCTGTGACGGTTTATAAATAGTTACCAGTAAGAAAAAGGTCCATGGACTAAGGCAACCTTCGGTAGGCACAGAAGCAAGGGATTGCCGGAGGGCCCGAACGGAAGTGGCGAAAGTCCCAATTTCCAGGGCGATTATGAAATCTTTAAAGATGGAGTTGGTGAATTTAACCGGGTTCTACGTAGAAGAAAGAGAAATGTATTTTTCCTGACATTATTGGAGGTTGCAGTAACAATTTTGTGTTGCGTTGTTTTCAACAGTTGGTTAGATTGAACGAACCCCCCTGTAAATAGTTGCCCTAGAATTTTCCTCTAAATCTAGGTGTAATGAGTTCGCACAGTTTTTCGATGACAAAGTACAAGAATCATCAAAAACACTATCACCTCCACAGCACGTATAACAATGCAACAGCCAGAGAAGCTTTTGAGCTAACTCCACTTTGCACCTGTGGATACTGAAACTGTCAAAAAGATAATCATGGAGTCTGAGCTCCTCCACATGTAGCCTGGATATATTGCCCTCTAAATTTCTGATAGTCCGTCCTGAGGCAGTTTGTTACCTTCACTGACACAACATAGTAATACCAGTGTCTCTGTCATCGTCAGGAACATTTCCATATGGCCCCTTAAAATAACAGCAGTCATAAGACCTCTCCTAAAAAGAGCAGTCTGGATCCTGCGGGACTTCAAAATTATCGCCCCATCTATCGAATCTGCCATTTAAATGGAAAAAAATTCTTGAAAAAGTGGCCCTGACCAAACAACTTACTGAATTTTTAACAATGATAATTCTTTTGATATGTTCCCAGTCTGGGTTTAGACCCCACCACAGCACTGGAGGACCGCTCTAGTGAAGGTAAACAAACGACATTCGACTTCACACTGATGCAGGTAAAGTCACAGTTTTGGTCATGTTAGATCTTTAGTGCCGCGTTCGACACTGTCGACCATGAGATCCTCATGCAGAGACTGGAGGACTGGGTTGGTGTCCACTGGCACAGCCCCTAGACTGGTTTAGGTCTTACCTGGAGGATTAGGAAAGTACTACTGTGGAGATTGGGAGACTGGCGTCTCAGAGGATGTGGCCCTGACCTGTGGTGTACCACAGGGTCGATCCTGGGACCTCTCCTATTTAATCTCTACATGCTGCCGTTAGGACAGTTAATACACAAGAAAGAAACAAAGTGTCCTACCACAATTACGCTGTACGACACTCCAGATCTATGTCTCACTGACTGCAGGAGAACTGGACCACTGGATCTTGCTCCTTACTGTATCCAACAGATCAGTGACGTGGATGCAAAATAAATTTCCTCCTAGCTAAATGCAGACAAAACCGAAATCATTGTCTTTTGGTCCCCAGAAACAAGAGGAGGGGAGTCATTTGTCAACTTCAGTCTTCTTCTCCCTACTTCCTTCAGACAAGGTCAGAAATTTGGGGGTAATACTGGACTCAGACCTAAATTTCAATAGCCACATAAAATCAATAACTATCACCAGCTTTTTACATCTGAAGAACATTGCCAAAGTTTAGAAATATAGTGTCCAGGGCAGACTTGGAGATTCTTGTCCATGCATTTGTCTCCTGCAGGCTAGACTACTGCAATGGCCTGCTTACAGGTCTGTCCAAACAGACCTGTAAGCAGCTGCAGTACATCCAAAATGCAGCAGCTAGAGTCCTGACAGGAACCAGGAAGTATGACCATATTAGTCCGGTCCTCAGGTCTCTGCACTGGCTTCCTGTGGCTCAAAGAATAGATTTTTTTTAAACGCTCTGCTTGTGTACAAGTCTCTCCATGGCCTTGCACCCAGAATACATTAGTGACATGTTGGTGTCATATGAACCGCCCGACTCTGAGGAGCACAGGGACTGGCCTCCTGCTGGTGCCCAGAGTGAGAACCAAACATGGGGAGGCTGCGTTTCAGATCCATGCAGCTAAGATCTGGATCAATCTCCCTGAAAATGTGAGGGAGGCGTCTACTCTGTCAATGTTCAAATCCAGGTTAAAGAATGTTCTGTTTGCCTGTGCATATAACTGAAGGATTTTTTTATCTCCATTTTTTAATGCACTGCTGTCATTTATTTATTTTTTTTTAAATTTCTTGTGTAATTTTTTGAAAGTTTTTAATGGTTTTTATTCTTTTGTGTGATTTTAATGTTTTAATTGTGTTTTAATCTTTTGTTGTGATTTTAAAATGTTTTAATTGTGATTCTGGTGTTTGTTTTTATGTGATGATTTTGTGATGTGGGACTGTGAAGCGCTTTGTGTTGCCCGTGGTGTTACATGAAATTTGGCGCTCTACAAATAAACTTTGTGATTGATTGCGATTGATATATTTGTATTGTGATAAGATCGCATTGGAACGACGCTGTTGTGGAAAAGAGCAGAGTTTGGAGTTTAACCCCTACAAAGCCACCAGCTTCAGGCCAGAGGCATCAGCGCACTCACGAGACTGAAGCTGTTTACCTGTACGCACGGTAAAAACTTTACAAATATGTATACTTAACATTCGAAGATGTCGGAGATTGGAGAATGCAATGGACGGATTGAGGAAAATCTAATGACTTTGTCTGTGCTGCGGATTTAATATATCTTTGTTCCAATCTTTGGGAGCATCTGTAGTGAAGAGGACAAGGACCTTAGCCTCGTTGCAATGAGGACTATCACTACAGAATCTGGAAGGAGAAGATGTTGTCTCGCTCCGAGGATGAAGGATTATCGTTGTTGCTCATAGTTTACTGTCCGCATTGATGAATTAAGATTGTACCCTCAGCTACTTCCTGCGGCGCCAGCTCTCCCTCTGCTGGATACAGAAGTACTGCATCACATAACCCAAAGTGCATCTGCCCCGCGTGCTGCACCCACTATTCAGTGCCGTTTCCATGTGACTATGACTCCATTTAATGCCAACCACCATTTGTGCACCAATTGTACAGAAAAGAACTGAACGTATAATGGGACAGTTGGTGAACCAACATCAAAAAGACAAACTTGGATATTCCCAGTTTGGAGAGTCAAGATCCAAAAAGCACTAAATAATGTTACAGTAGGTCCTGGACAGAACTGGACTCCCAGGGAGACACCAATTCAGTTTGTGCTCAGGAGCAATGGACTTAAGACGGCAAATTTTATTTGCTATCCGAAAGGGCCCAAAGTGGGACCAAATACACCCGGATTTATCACAGATTCAATTCTTTGCAAACTGTACTTACCAGGCGATTGACAGACACCATAAGAACTGATTTAAAGCCATATCTACGAGATTAAATGTGTCTGAAGTGCTGTTGGAGAAAGTTACAGATGCATACACACTGGAAATCGGAATGAAAAAACCAATTAGCGACCAGTCCAAAGCAGTGATTATTCTGCAATGGTGGAGGACCTTACATTTAACAGGGAGAGCACAGCCCCACATCCACAATAACATGCCCAGTGAACCCCCCAAAAACGTGAGACTTTGACGGAAAAATGATCAAAGGCAATAAAAGCAATCTGTGAAGCTATACAACAAGTCTACACAGCTCTCTCAGGCCTCCAGCAAGCCCAAAGACCCCCACACCACACAGATCTTACCACGCCGCTCGGGCAGGAACTTTCAGGCAACGCCAGAGACCCCCGGGAAGGTGTCATCATTGCCAGATCACCAATCCTCAAGGCAAGTGTAACCACAGTTATAAATGTGGCAGTTCTGACCACTGGGCTTATTGGCTTTCGTAAAGTCACTCATGTTCAGCCTCGTCTAATTAAATTGACCTTTGGTACATCTGGTAAACTGAAGCCAGTTCTACCAGGACAGAGCCCCCTCGATGTCAGATTCATTTTATTAGCATGTGCAGTATAAAAACGACATTGGAAAACATTTGCAAAAAGGTACTCTGTGTGCACCGACAGACCAAAAGCACGGATACAATGTAATATAAAATACACCTACACTGAAAATAAAAGAATATAAAAAACAACAGCTTGTCCCGGTGGCAACCGATCAACAAAAACGATACAAGGGGTCATAGCAGGAATTAAAGTTCTCTGTTAGCGAGATGTCTGCATCTCAGCGACCGATATCTTCTTCCAGAGGGAAGAAGCTGGAAACAGGCTTTTTCCCAGGGTGGCCAGAAAGATGTCATTGATGATTTTAATAGCTCTGTTTATAGAGTCTGGATTCATAAAAACCTCCAGAACAGAACGTACAGCCCACAGTCCCTCTTTGCAGAGCGAAGAACCTTTTTTAACGCTCTTTTCTTTATTTGTGATGTTACGAAACCACACAGTCACAGAACCAACAAGTAAACTCTCATTGGTGCCGCGATGAAAGTTAAGCAGAATCTTAGAGTTATTGGTAACTCTCTAAGTTTCCGCAAAAAGAAGAGCCGCTGACTACTTAAATCAACGGTGCACAACGGAGCACTTGCAGCGACGCTCCTGGCACGGCGCCATCTTGGAGTTTCTCACCTAGTACTACGCAAGACAAACCGCTAAGCAGTGGACGAATATGCCCCCTGGTCATAGCGTCATTAAATAGTGGATACGACTGTTTTTGGGACAGTGGCTCACAGGAGTCTATTATTGGAGTGGACTGGAAAAATAATATTGGACTCTTACAATTGTGGCTGTACAACACTAGGCTGGCTGCATAGTGTTGAAAGGTGTGCCCGATGGAACCCCAGGAGGAAGAGGGCAGCACGGCATCAACAGCTCAGGGTACATGGGAGGGGCCACAAGGGGAGCTATGGGATCCACCGTGGACCTGAGCCATCTCTCTCCAGACAGCAGCAAAAAAAGTCAAGCAGTTGCTGAGATAGGAGAGCCACGTGTTTGCCAAGGACGATTGGGACACTGATTATTAAAGAACTTCAATGAACATTCAGTTAAAACACATACGTACCCATCCAAAGGTCTTATAACTCCTATCGCACGTCATCTTCTACCAGAAAGTAAAGTCTCAACATTCAAGACGCTGAGTAAGGATGGATTCAAAAGTCATGTTCACACTATTTCGTCACCTATTGTAATGTGTCCCAAAAAAAAGATGGAACCCTCCGGTCTATGTTGTGGATTACAGACTGTTGAAACCAAAATGACTTGCCTGATCGCCACCGCCCACCCTTCCCCCGGATCCAGGAAATTTTGGAAAATATCGGGGACAACTCACGGGGGGCCAACTCATGGTTCACTGTACTGATCAAGGCAAGGCATACCACGGGATTTGTGTGTGAGGCAGAGCCGACCCATTACTAGGAATCCGCAAGCCCCGTACGGGATCGGTCCCACTCTCTGAGTTCCACACCTACATCTACAACCTGAGCCTCAGCCTGGAGAAGGTCCCTGTCCTGTGGAAGACCTAGTGTGTGCTCCCGGTTCCTAATACCGCGCAAGCCAAGGAACCGGCTCACTACAGAACGGGGGGGGTGGGGTGTTTGGGGTTGGTGGTGGTTGTGGTGGGTTGGGGGATGGGGGGGGGGGGGGGGGTTTGGGGTGGGGGGTGGGTGGTTGGGGTGGGGGTGGTTTGGGGGGTGGGGGTGGGGGTGGGGGGGGGGAGGGGGGTGGGGGTCGGGTGGGGGGGGTGGGGGGGGTTTGTGGGGGGGGGTGGGGGGGTGGGTGCGGGGGGGGGGTGTGGGGTGTGGGGGTGGGGGGGGGGGAGTGGGGGGGTGTGGGGTTCTGACCTCCCACATGATGATGCCATGAAGCGGGCTCATCCCCTCAACCCATCTCCGCTCTGTGGGTCAGCCCCAACCTGGACTCCGCTGCAGTGCGCCTACAGCCCATATCGGAGTAGAGGACGCCACGCATCATACTATCTCGCAGCGGACGCTCCAAAATTCTCGACCACCTGGAGCCCACCGGGCAGCGCTGTGAGGGTCGTGTTCTTTCGACTTCTCCAGTGCTTTCAACACCATCAGGCCGGTACTCCTGCTGCGGGGGAAGATGAGGTCGCAGGAGTGGACAGTAGCCCATCAACTGCAGGGACCATCGACTACCTCTCAGACCGACCCACAGATACGTGCGGCTGTGGGTTCAGAGGTGGTAGTCTGCGGCAGTTCTGGGCCCCATCAGGGACTGGTCCTCTCCTACCGTTTCAACTTTCACCATCTAACGACCTTCAGACTCACATACGACACACACACAGCTGTCCACCTGCAAGTTCTCCGCCATCGTGGGCTGTGTGGTTTTTGAAAAAGGGGAACCAACTGGAATATCGTCAGTTTTATCACAGCTGTCGACATGTGTGAGCCAACCACTTGTGCTTGAACACCAGTAAGACCAAGGAGATGATCTTCGACTTCAGGAGAAAACCACTTTCCCTACACGCTGCTGAACATCCAGGGTGGAGACATTGAGCTGGGGGAGCAGCTTAAATTACCTGGGGTGTTCACCAGTGGAGGCGGGTCCCGGCTCAAAAGTGGCTAAAATGATGTGCGCCGACATGCTGCAAATACCACCGTCACGGGCCGGTGGGGTGGACCCGAATAAGATTTAGCCAACTTCTAACCTAGCACTTGTGGCCATGTTAGGGATAGCTTCCAGTAGACAAGTATTTTTTTGGCCCATTAGATTGTAAGGCGGAGATAGCCATGACTACTAGGGTTGGGCATGTTTTTTTGTACCGTTATAGAGTATATTAAATGATAAAGAAAATGCCTTATACCGTGAAAACGATCATTACACCTGAAAACAGCGAAGCGAAGACACGGTTTGTGTGCGGCGCACTTTAATGACGCATCTGCGCGGCACGTGTTAGCAGAGCGGCGTGCAGGGACAACAACAACAGAGAGCAAACAATATGGCTGAGGCGGCGGTGAAGACCATGGTGAAGACATGCAGAGTGTAGAAGACATTGTGCCCAAACGCGAGCTACCTCAAAACATATGGGAGTATTTGGGAACTAGAATCAAAAGAAGCAATTGTGTGTAACTATCGACAGTGGATTTCTAATGTTGTGAAAGCAGCTGCCCCTAAACAAGTGGTTCCCAAAAGTGAGGGCCCGACCCCCGGGGGGTTCCGCAGGGAACCCCTGGGGGGGGTCGCAAGATAGTATCCAAAAAAAAAAAAAAAAAAAAAAAACATTTAGCTAATTAATAGCCCTTAACTAGTGATTTAACATTTGAGTTTGATTCAAAAGGACTACTTGTTAATGTGTTAGGAGAATATAAAATATTTAAATTACGTTTGTAATTTTGTCCATTCATTGAGGCAGCCGTCAATCAAAAATCAAGTTACGTAGCTTACGCACGCAGCACAAGCGTGACCATCTTGTTTTTGTTTGCTTAAAACTAAAGGTGTTTGGAGCTCAAACAAATAAACACTGCTTTCAAATGAAACGTGGTTAATATCTCACTACAGAAAAACCCGGAGGGAGAGAAAATCACATTGAGGGTCATGCTGATGGTGCGAAGAGAGGGAGAGAGGGGCAGCGAGGGAGAGAAGTCAGCTGGTAGATGAGGTGGTATAGTGGCCCGGCTTTTCGTAGTCAGACGTAAAGAGAGGTCCGCACATAAAAAGCGGGCGGCCCCCCGCTTTCTCTGCTGTTGACTTTTGCGCTTTCATCTCCCCCGCGGCTTTCTTTTCCAAAGTTACTGTAAGTAACCGCATAAAGCAGGTCCACCCGCCCACCCGCTTTTAATGTGCGACCTCTTTACCACTGACGTCCGAAAAGCCGGGCCTCTTTAAACCACCCTCTTCTCCCTGCTTCTAAACCGCTGCCTTCGTCTCCCTCCGCGCCTCATCTCCCTCTTCTCGCACCATGGAGCCTGACCTCAACATGTGACTTATTCTCTCCCTCCGGGTTTTTCTGTAGATGGATATTACCACGTTCATTTTAAAAAAGCAGGTTATTATTTGTTTGAAGCCTCCAAACACCATTTAGGTTTTTAGCAAACAACTGCTGGACACCGCTTTGTTCGCTGCCGTGGGACGTAACGTAAGCTACGTAACTTGATTTTTGATTGAACGCTGTCAATGACTGGACAAAATTACAAACGTAATTTAAATAATTTATATTCTCCTAACACAATCTATTTACAAGTAGTCCTTTTGAAATCAAATCAAATGTTATATCAATATTTAGGGCTATTAATTAGCGAAATGTTTTTTATTTTTTTTTTTTTTTTTTTTTGGAAATCATCTTGCGACCCCCCCCCCAGGGGTTCCCCGCGACCCCCCGGGGGTTCGGGACCCCCACTTTTGGGAACCACTGGTTTAGGGCAGCTGCTGCTTTCACAACATTAGATCCACTGTCGATAGGTTACACACAATTGCTTCTTTTTGATCTTAGTTTTCCCAAACTACTCCCAATATTTTGAGGTAGCTCCTCAGTTTTGGCACAAATGTCTTCTACAATCTGCATGGTCTTCACCGAATGGTCTTCAAACGCGCCGCCCTCAGCATGGTGTTGCTCTCTGTTGTTGTTGTCCCTGCACGCCTCTCTGCTACACGGCCGCGCAGATGCGCATTAAAGTGGCGCCGCACACAACCGTGTCTTGCCGCTCGCTGTTTTCAGTGTTAAAAAATGATCGATTTCACCGGTATAAAAGGCAATTTTCTGTATCATTTAATTTACTTATAAGCCGGTACAAAAAAAAATATCGCCCAACCCTAGTAGTCATGCGATCCTCCGCCTTACAATCTAAGGGGCCATAAATATTGCTCTAACTGGAGCTATCCAACAGGCCACTAGTGCTATGTAGCATTGGCTTAATTCTTATTCCGGGTCCACCACCCCACACGCCCGGAGGTGGTAATTGGCAGGCATGTCGGCGACATCATTTTAGCCACTTTTGAGCCGGGACCCCCCCCCCGCCTCCACTGGTGAACACCCAGGTAATCGTAAGCTGTCCACAAGCTCAATGTCCCCCCCTGGATGTTCAGCAGCGTGTGGGGAAGTGGTTTCTCTGAAGTCGATGATCATCTCCTTGGTCCTTACTGGGTTTCAAGCACAAGTGGTTGCGCTCCACCAGTCGACAGTCTGTGATATACTGACGATATTCCAGTTGGTTTCCACTCTAACACACAGCCCACTATGGCGGAGAACTCTGCAGGTGACAGCTGTGTGTTGTCGTATGTGAAGTCTGAAGTGTAGATGGGTGAAGAGAAAACGTTGAGAGTGACAGTGCCCAGATGGGGCCACACAACTGCAGACTACACCTCAGAACCCACACCGCAACGTTGACTGGTGGTCAGGTCTGAGAGGTAGTCGATGGTCTAGCAGTGATGCTACTGTCCACTCCTGCGATCCTCCATCTTCCCCCAGCAGCAGTACCTCGGCCTGATGGTGTTGAAAGCACTGGAGAAGTCCGAAGAACACGAACCCTCACAAGGCAAGCTCTCCCGGTGGGGCTCCAGGGGGAGAGCGTCCCGCTGCAGGAAGTAGATTGAACGGCGTCCTCTAACTACGTCCGATAATTGGGCCTGTAGGCGAACTGCAGCTGTTCAGGGTGGGCTTAGACCACAGAGCGGAGATGGGCTGAGATGAGCCGCTTCATTGTCCCTTTCATCAGGTGGGAAGGTCCAGTGCGACTGGTCTGTAGTGAGCCGGTTCCTTGGCTTGCGCGGTTTTAAGGAACCGGGATCACACAAGAGGGTCTTCCACAGGATCAGGGACACCTTCTCCAGGGCTGAAGGCTCAGGTTGTAATGTAGGTGAGGACCTCAGAGAGCTTGGGACTGATCCCGTCCGTCTTGCGGATTTTCCTAAGGATGGCGGCCTCTGCTCACACACAAATCCCGGATTGGTATGCCTTGCCTTGATCCAGTCATTGAACCATGATTTGCCCCCCGTGAGTTTGCCGCCCGATATTTTCCAAAATTTCCTGGATCCGGGGGATGGGGGTGGCGATCAAGGCAAAGTCTTTTGGTTCAACAGTCAGTAATGCCACTACATGACGGAGGGTTCCATCTTTTTTTTTGGACACATACAATAGGTGACGAATAGTGGTGAACATGACTTTTGAATCCATCCCTACTCAGCAGATCTTGAATGTGAGAACTTTACTTACTTTCTGTGTAGAGATAACGTGCGATATGAGTTTATAAGACGCTTTGGACTGGGACTTGTGTTTTAACGAATGTTCATATTGAAGTTCTTTAAAATACATCCAGTGTCCAATCGTCCTGGGCAAACACTGGCTTCTCCTCTCTCAGCATCGCTTGACTTTTTTGCTGCCTGTTCTGGCGAGAGGATGGCTCAGGTCCCACAGGTGGATCCCATAGCTCCCCTTGTGGGCCCCTATCCCAGTACCCTGAGCTGTTGGATGGCCGGCTGCCCTCTTCCTCCATTGGGTTCCAACGGGCACACACTTTCAACATATGCAGCCAGCCTAGTGATGTACAAGCCACAATTGTAATAGACCCCAAATATAATTTTTCCAGTCCACTCCAATAATAGACACCTGTTGAGCCACTGTCTCCACAACAGTCCGTATCCACTTCATTTAATGACTGCTCTGACCAGGCTTATTCGTCCCACTAGATTAGGCGTTTTTGCTTTGCGTACTATGAGAAACTACCAAGATGGCGCCGTGCCAGGGCGTCGCTGCAAGCTCCGTTGTGCCACCGTGATTTAAGCTCGTCACGGCTCTTCTTTTTTGCGGAAACTTAGAGAATTTACCACTTAACTCTAAGGATTCTGCGTTAACTTTTATCTGCTTGCAGCCATTGAGAGTTTACT